ACAGCAACTGCTGAGAGCATCCCCAGTAAATGGAACTATTAGGTTTTACAAGAGGAAAGGCTGCGAGGACATGAATTATCTGCACCCCAACCTTGCGGGAAAGGAGTTGCAGTTCAGTGGTTGTGACTCATCCCAAGAGCTCAGAGAGGGATCTGTAATGATTTATTCATGCCACTGTTATTGTTTGGGAAGCTCACTTGTGCTGCTACGGTTAAACTAAATAATTCATTGACCAGTCTACTTACTAATCTTGATTGGCTGCTCTCTTTATGAAAAGCCTCGAGGTGAAGATCACAAAAGAGGCAATTTTCTATGCTTGATACCTTCAGAAAGCAGAACTTGGAGGTTAGCGTCCAGCAGGCCTGGCCTTGTTGAAGGCCTAAGGATAGAAATGGCGTTCATCTGGGAGAGTGGTGTTCATCCTCCCTGCCTCAGCCAGCTGTCTGATTCTCGTACCACTTTGGGGATGTGGGAGAAATGCGCCTTCCTTGCACCTCTAACCCTTAATAAGCACCAAGGCAGTTCAAATGGTGGCTCTGAAGATGTCTCTTTCTTCCCACCAAGCATACATGAAAATGTTGCAACACTTAGGTGAGATGCCTCCTGCTCAGCATGCCCCCATGGGTCAAGCTGGGAGAAAGGAGCTGTTGTTGTACGTGTCACTTCATCCCCAGTGGCATTAGGATCTCCACAGAGTGTGTCTTGCTGATGTAACTCATTCATTTCTTGTGCCTTTGACAAATGACTTGTCTCCCAGGAGGGCTGATCCAACAGCACTGGGGCAAGGCTGCAGATGGGACATGGTCACCCCAATGGGACGAGGGCACGAGGAGGTGGGCATGGATGCTCCAGCCTTTGCAACAGGACAACTGGAGGACAATCAGCAAGGCAGGGCAGGACCTGAGGTTTTGTTTTGGGCCCTCAACACAGCCTGCCCTTGTTCAGTTGTGGTTGGTGCAGAGGTACAGCTTGAGTTTCTTGACCGGAATGTCAGGGCTTTGCTAAGCTGAAAGTCAGGGTGGAAAAGCAGACAGGAACTCTGGCAGAAAATGTAGGTACCCTTCTGAAATGTGACAAAGTGCACACACAGTGCATAGATAAATGATTCTCTCACATCATTGCCACTGATTTGTGCAAAATATTTGGTTTATTGCTCACGCCTCTGTCAAAGCAGCAAGGTATGTGCTTCCACCTCAGAGCAAGAAAAGATTTCACAACACACGTTTTTAGCAGTTTTTCTATGAATAGCTCCTGTGTGAGAACGTGGTCTGCACGTACACATGTTTTCTCAAGGCTTCCCTATGAGGGTCACCTGCACTGCAGCATTAACAGGTTTGCTATTATTGCAGAGTTCATCTCACTTTAAAATAGACCAAGGGAGAGGACTCTGGTCCTGTTGGGACCACATTTTTGTAGCTGTTTAAGGAAACCAAGGAAGTGACTAAAAGGAGCTGCAGTTAGCCACAAATTTGAATTTGGCATCACCCCTTATTTAGGGGAGGACATTTGCCTTACTGGGGCTCACCCTCCACCTGCAGAGAGCAGAGATGTTTTTCCATGTGTGGAAGAAGGACACGAGCTTCCCTGGTAGAAGAAGGGCAATGAGCCCCAGATGTTCTCCAGTGGCTGTCCAGAGCCGTCTTTCTCCCTGCTCAGCTGCTCAGCCTCCCTTCTATATCCTTCAGGTGTCCAACCTGCAGCCCCCCTCCTGCAGGTCCCACCTCTGGCACAGCAGTGAGAGGTTTGGCAATGACCAGAACCCTAATTTCCCAACAGCCATGTGCAGAGAGCAAAGAATTCCAGGTCTCATCTCAAGAGCCCTTGGCCCTCCATCGTGGCTCAGCCACACTTGTCACTGGAGCTGAATCCCAGCAGAATCCTGGGAAGTGTCTCCTATTTCCCAGACAGATGGAGGCAAGAGCAGGAGCTGTGGGCTGCTGCTTGTCCTTAGGAGCCAGCCTTGCTTTCACAAATAGATCAGATCTTGAAACCTGTTGGGATCCTGAAATAGCCCTGGGCCAGGTGGAGCATCCCTTCCGCATGACAGCACAGCACACACCACACCTGCTCTATTTATTTCTTAATTCTTCATGAATTGATGTGTCTTTGATAAAGTATTCGTACACAGTAGGTCTCTTTCAGGCAGACACGGGGAAGGAGAGAGAGCAACACCCAAAGCAATGCAAAACATTGGGCAATGCTATGTAGCCTCTGACAGATGCTATAAGAAATCTGGATGTGGATATTCTCAGAAGGGTGGCTTCTGATCCCAGCCTAGTGCTATATTGATTTGCGTTCAGAATGTAGAACTCTGGCAGAAAGATTGCCAGCTTTTGGCAGTAGGTTTTTGTACTTGGGCATCTAAACCCAGCTCACAGCAGGGATTTGGTGCTCAAAGATCTTCAAGCTCCCTTCCAATCTAAGCCATTCTACTTTCTTATTATTATAAATGTGTTCCCTGTAATTCCAGCTCACTCAGGTTGGTACTGTGCTGGGACCACTGCTCAGCACTAGCCTCACATTTCCACCCTTGTTTTCTGTTTTGGTTCTGAGCTAAAATGGTCACAGCTTTGGGACAAACGATGCTCTCATATGTCCATCAAAACTCATGGGGTGCCCCATGAGAACCTGCAGCGATGGCTCAGTAATTTTCACCAATTTGTTGTTCTCTAGGAAGAGAGGAAGAGAGCCCTGCCTGCTTCACCATCTAATTACAGCACCATCTAATTATTACTGCTCACTTTCAGTAAATGCCCCAGAGGCAGTGCAGAGGCCCACAGAAACGAATGGCATCCTGCAGTGATTCACTGCAGGGCGTGCAGTGGGGATGGATGTGGGGCTGTTCTGAGCTGTGTGTGTCCCTGCTGAGCCAAAGGAGCCTTGCTTGGGGTTACTCAATCTGGTGTAGATGTAGAAAAGCAGCTTTTGTGCTCAGCTTTTATTTCAGTTTGATGAAGATGATTCTTCACTCGGCTAAAGCAAGACGTGTGTTTAAAGTGAAATCAAAGCGTGCTGAACTTTGTATACACAAAGCATTTGGATGGAATTATTTATGACGTCAGGTCTTTGGCAAAGCTTTCAGCTCACGAGAAGTCATAAAGCATTCTGGTATAGTTCCTGTCTGGTGCTGAGATTGGTGGGAAAATGAAAAAAAAAAGGAGAAGAAAGGACAAAAGCTTCAGCCTGAATATTTGGTGAACCATCCACCTTGCTGACAGTTTGTCAAAGCAGTGATGTGGAGCAGCAGAAAATGATTCCTCTGAAAAAAGCATGACACAGGGCTGGCCCAGGAGCACCAGCACTGGCATTGTGTTGTCCAATGAGGGCACTGGGTTGCCCGGGAGTGACACTGGGCAATCCTGGGGTGGCACTAAGATGCCAAACACAGCACTGGGTTATAAATTGTGAGCAATTGTCGCCCAGTGGTGGGATCAAGTTGCCCAGCAAAGTTACTACATTGCCCAGGGCTGACACTGGGGTGTCCATCAAGGGCACTTGGCTTGTCCAGTGGCTGTTCTGATCTGCCCACGGCCAGCACCAAGTAGCCCAGAGCCAGTAGTAAGTGTTTCAAGTCCAGTACCGAGCTGCCAGCTGCCCAGTGACAACAGTAGGTTGCCCAAGGCAGGCATTAGGTTGCCCATCCAGAGCACTGGGTTGCCCAATGGTTATTTGGCCAGTTACCAAATGGCCCAGTGATGACAGTGCGTTGCCCCGGGCAGGCATTACGGTGCCCATCCAGAGCACTGGGTTGCCCAGTGTCATCACTGGGTCGCCATAGCAACTGCATGAGGTTGCCGAGGCAGAATTTAGTTGTGGGGATCCCAGTTCCCATAGCAACGTTCTCCTGGTGCTGTGCCACTGGGGCAGCTGGTGCTGGGGGTCCTGCACACCCAGTGCTGCTGCCACTGAGTCTGACAGCACAGCAGGGAGGCACAGCTCACAGGCACTTCCTGAGCACCCACCCAGGCTGCTGAGGGTGAGCATACGCTTTAACTCAGAGGGGCGGGGTGCTAGAGGGCAGATACTTCTCATAACCCCTCACGATATGGATGATATCTCTTGTACTCAAAAGGACGTGCTCAGGTGGTGGGAGAACAGGATCTGATGTCCCTATGTCTCCTATCCTCCTCTTTTTAAGCTTTTGGGTAGGAAACCATGAGTTGTTGCTGGCACTGCCCTTTGTAGAGGTGCTCTTTGTTGCAAAGGTGACTAAAAGTGAAAAACTATTTCCTAGAGATGTTATGATTTCAAATACAAGCAGCCTCTCAGCTTGCCTACAGAACCAAACTGCTTAGGGCAGCCCAAGAGGAACAACTTCGGATGACTTCTTGCATCAATGCTTTGTTCTAGGATAAAAGCAAGTTCATTGCAAAAGAATGTCCCCTTTCTTCCTTTGCAAGTCAAAGGAGATAGCTCTTCTTTTAGGGTGAAATAGGTGGTTTTTTGTTTTTCAAATCTAGGTGTAGTCCTGCACAGCTCAGCTCACCTGCAGGTCCTTGCTTAAGCATTTCATGCCAGTGAAGGTGCAGGGATGAGAATGTAGCCCCTTGCCCATAGATCACACTGGGTTGGAGTTGGTACAGTTGTATGTCCATAGGGATGCAGATATTGGGCTGGCAATGGAACTTTTAAAGAGAAAATCACATCTGGAGCACTGTAAGATCTGCTGGCCAAAAGAAACAAAGGAACAGCAGAGAATCCAATTTCATTGGAATGACAGGCTGAATGAAAATGAAGGCATAGTATCTGTCATTCTCCTTAGTGCCATGATTTGTTTCTCTCTCCTTCTCAAGTCCTGACACTCAATATTAACAACAAAGCCAAATCCAGTATATACAAATGCTTGGGACGCTGTCTGAAGGGATTTGCTTTGGAGAAGTCGAAGCCTGTGTGGGCAGTGTGTGGGTGCTGTGTGTGTGGCTGTTTGTATTACAAGTTGCACATCTTGCTGCAAGAAGTGAGATGCTTTTCCTCTGCCTCCTTGCTGTGCAGGACCCGAACTGTGGTGCCCATGGAGCTCGTTGGCTCATCCTTACCGGCGGTCCGTGCCCACGTGCGATCGACCCCCACCAACCTCCTGCCTGCCATCAGCACCATGACTTCCAGCTACAAGAACCGTTTCCCCTATTATCCCTTGCCCCAGACACTCAGCCTGCCCTGGCTGCCCAGCTCCTACTACAGGACGGCTACCAACCACCCCATGTTGGCTCCTTTCTCCAGCGGCTCCCAGGGGCTGACTCCCAGCAAGATGCTCCCGTTCGTGTCCAACAGGACGTCCCTCTTCACCCGTTACACCCCGGACGACTGGTACCGCTCCAACCTGACCAACTATAGGGAGTCGGAGACCTCACGGCACAACTCGGAGAGCCTCAGGGTCGACACCTCCCGCCTGATCCAGGACAAGCACCAGCAGACGAAGAAAACCCAAATGGAGAGCACCAAGAATCTGGGAGAACGCGTCAATGACATTGAGTTCTGGAAGTCAGAGCTCTGCCATGAGCTGGATGAGATGATCGGGGAGACCAACGCGCTCACAGACATGAAGAAGCGACTGGAAAGAGCCTTAGCAGAGACAGAAGCCCCTCTGCAGGTGAGCCCTGAGCTGCTGGAACATCTGCAGCCATTCAAACGTCTCATTAAGTTTCATTGGAGCTCTGTAACGTCTAGAAAGCTTTTACTAAGAGACCATTAGTTAAGTCAGCAATAAACAAGCCCCTCGCCATCTGCTTACAGCTCCTATCAGCACATGCTGAGCGCATCGGAACACTATTTGCTAACCCAAATATTTTTATAAGCTGTACATCCAAAATCTCACATTGGGATGGGAAAGCCCATGTCTTGCTATGAGAATCGGGTGAGGTCGGCATTCAGCTTGACAGAGGTCCCCATATCCAGCTGTGGGTACGCAGGGCCATGCGTGCTCCCTCATAGGATTCATTGCTGACGTTGCAGCTTGGCCACTCATTGCCAGCCAAGCCCTGCCTTGGACACATTTTTCTTCTTTGTCCTAGCCTGTAATTTCTCTTCTCTTGTATGACTTACAGTGGGGGCCACCCCTCTAGGGAGCCCCACTCATGCAGTTTGCTGTGTCCCCAACAGGTTGCTCAGGAGTGCTTGCTTCACCGGGAGAAGAGGATGGGCATTGACCTAGTCCATGACAACGTGGAGAAACAGCTCTTCACAGTGAGTCTGACTAAAGCTCCTTCTGCCTAAACTGCCCTAAGCAGGTTTTCCAGCCCTGTCCCATATCCGGATCTTGGGCACAAAATGCTTCAAACCCCAGGCTAGGAGATGGCATTTCCATCAGCAGCACAACCACATTTTGGGGCAAGATTTTCCCTTTTATCTGAAGACCCTGTCTGGCATATAGCAGGGCCCTTGGCCCCTTCAAGCAGCAGTGTGTGCCCAGCTTCTTGTTTGCTTTTCCCAACCCATTAGTCAGTTTAAGAAAAGATATTACATCTACCCTCAGCTTTGCTCTGCTTGACTGCAGTTGGACTGCCACTCTGTGTACTTAGGCAGTGCATTTTATAGAAATCATAAAAACGTGCCCTCCTCCCTGCCTTTACATAGTCTGATTGCAATTATGAATAAAAAGCAAACAAGATGAGAGCTGGCCCAGAAGACAGGATTCTAACCCAGGGTACAGCAAAATGCAATCACTGCAAGGGCCTTGTGAAGCTGGGAAGGAAGTGGCAGCCCCTGGGACTGTGAAGCCCAATTAGAAGATTTTTTCTTATGAGTCAGGCCCTAAAAAAGCAGACTGCCTTAAAGGTCATGAGATTTTAAGGAAAGAAATTCAGAGTTGGTATCTTCATAATGGCAGCCTGGATTGCAAGTGTTGTGAGGATAAGTTTAGGCCATGATTTTCAGATGGTTATGGGAGAGAGAAGGTGTAAACATGAGTGGTTTGGAAGCACTGATCACTGCTTACAGTAATTAGGGCTGCACAAACATGGTGGAGGTGTGCTGAGGTCAATATGTGTCTTCCTCCAGCCTCATTCTTAGGAATGGCTGGGAATTCACTCTGAAGCAAAGTCTCTGTCTTCCTACCCTGTTTGTATGGGATTTCTCCTGGGGAAGAAAATATTTAGGGAACAAAAATGTCAGGACCTAACTGGGGATGGAGGTGTGTGGTTCATCCAGGTCACCACTCAGAGCAGGTCAGGATCTGGCCTTGCTGCCATACAGTGGCACTAACCATCACTTGGCATAGGTGTCAAGATGAAAAAATGCTTGGTCACTCCGTGCAAGTCTGTGCACAGGCTGTGCCTGTGGCCATGGCGTGGTCCTGTCTCTGCTCTGGGTCACTGCACTCAGATTGGAGGCCCAAGGGGATGCGTGTGACTGGGACCAATGGGTGAGGACACTGATGGAGTCATGCTTTGTCCCTGTCCAGGAGGTGGATGTGATCAGATCGTGCCAGGAGAGGATGCAGCGCTACCTGGACAGAGCCAAAGCCCAGCTTGCGTAAGGAGCCCCCAGCCCAACCATAAGGCTGAAGGCATAGAATCGTAAAATCATTAGGGCTGGAAAAGATCTCTATGGTCATCAAGTCCTTCTAAAGTCATCAAGTCCAGCCCCAACCTCCCCCCACTCTGCCCATCAACACATCCCTCAGTGCTACATCTCCTACATCTCCACAGTTCTTGAACACCTCCAGGGACAGTGACTCCCCCACCTCCCTGTGCAGCCTGTGCCAATGCATCACCACTCTTCCAGAGACTAAATTTTTCCTAATATCCAACATGAGTCACTTTGTAACATGAACTCACAGCAGACCTCTGTCCTCTGCCTACCCTGCAGCTATGAAAATCACCTAGGCTCCCAGGGAGCATCCCCAGGGAAGGCATGCCTCCCCAACAGTCCCACTGACAGCTGCCGCGCTGTGCTGCAGGTCCAACAGAGCAGCCCAGCACGAGGTGGAAAGGGACCTGGCAGACAAGCAGACAGCCCACCGCATCGACGGCAAGTGCCACCACCTGCGGAACACCTCCGATGGCATCAGCTACTACCGCGGCGTGGAGCGGGTGGATGCCACGTGAGTGCCTGGGGAGAGGTGGCACAGCACTGCCTGTCCCCACCCTGATGGCCATGGCATGGCACATCCATCCCACCCCAAGCAGCACATTCAGTGGGACAACGAAGGGGGCAAAAGCATAATACAGTGGGTTCTGCCTAATTAAATGTCATATCAGGGTTCAGAGATTAGCCTGACAGATCAGCTCAGCGCCTCGGCACAGCCCATTTGGTCCATGCATATTTTGGGAGATGTGTCAGTGCTTGCCCGAGCGCTCCACATTGACGTAAGGTCTGGGGGCTCACCCTGCCTGCAGAGTGCTGGCAGGGAGCCCGGATGGCCTTGAAGATAAAAGAAGAGAGCATGGTGCTGGGATGGAGTTCAGCTGCTCTTGGGTGCCAGGAATTCGGCTTTGGCTCTGCAATAAATGGACGATGACCGAAAGCAGAGATATGCTGCAAGCAGCAAAGGGCACGGGGAATAAATCTGCTCCACACACGGACCCATGTGGTTCATAGAGGGCATGGAGTGATTCAGTTTTTCTTGTGTTTGAGTCATTCTTCAAAATGAAGCTCAGACATTTCAACAGGCAAATGAGTGGCAACGGATTGATGCTGAAATTCAGAGGGAGCAAAATGTGTAGAGGATCAGCATGTTTTACGTGAAGCTTATGTGGTATTTGAGGCTTTTGTTGACCTTGTTCTGGATGCTGCATGGAGTGAACTCCATCCTGAGCGCACAGACAGAGAATCAGTGTTATGTAATGTTGGCTTTTGTGTGAAATTGGGATAAGTTATAAGCAAAATGCATTGGCTGCAGTCTGCATGTTGTCGTAGAGCTGTGAATGACTCTGCACTTGAATGCTGTTAACACGTAAATATGAGGTCTGATTAGAATCTCGATTTTTCCGTGGGAATCCATTGTTTGTGTGAGCCTTCATAATTGTCGCAATTGTTGCCGTGGATGTGTCAGCATCTGATAAGTTGTACTGCATAAATGGTGTCCAGATGTTTTGCTTTCAAGTGGTCAAAGAGCGTGGATGCCAGGAAGGCCGTGTTTAAGCCAACCTGGTCGGATCCATGTGTGCCCATGGCAGTGTGTGGCCATCTCTGCCTCTCTTCTCTACGGCAGCATCTCAGTGCCAGACTCGTGGGCCAAGTTCACGGATGACAACATCCTGCGCTCCCAGAGCGAGCGGGCAGCCTCAGCCAAGCTGCGGGAGGACATCGAGAACCTGCTGGTGGTGACTGCCAATGAGATGTGGAACCAGTTCAACGCCGTCAACGTCGCCTTCACCAACCGCATCGCTGAGACTGCTGATGCCAAGAGCAAGATCCAGACACACCTGGCCAAGGTATCCCCAGCCCTTCCCTTTTGGTGCTAAACTGAATGATGACTCCCAGCAAAGAGAGAGCCTCCCTGCAGAGCTCGCCCAGGGCTGAAAAACGGGGCATGATGCTGTTACTGATGAATATAATTTTTAATTTACGAACTCGCTTCTATTGCAGACACTGCAGGAAATTTTCCAGATCGAGATGAGCATAGAAAGCATCCGTAAAGCCATCAGGGACAAAGTGCCTCCACTGAAAGTGGCTCAGACCCGGCTGGATGAACGCACGCGGAGACCCAACGTGGAGCTGTGCCGGGACAGTGCCCAGCTGCGGTGAGCAGGAGTGCAGTCACTGCGTGGGCACTCAGAGCACTACTGGGTGACAAAACTGATGGTGGCCCTTTTTACTAGATAGCCCTTCCTTGAGTGCATTGGTATGTTGGAAAGCACTGAGCATGCATCCCAGCGGCGTGCTGGGAAAGCTCTGCATCCACAGCCCAATGATGCCTGACACTCTCCCAGTGGCTGGATGTGCCCATTGTGGAAGGATGAACCCTTTGATCTCCCATAGCATCACCCTGAGAGCTCCTTCCCTTCAAGGGAAGAAGGGCACCCTTGCAGCAGGTAGCTTTATAGGCTGTCTTCACTCGCCCTGAGGACACGGGGAAACACAAACCCCTCAACTGCAGGAGCAGGGGAGACCTCTGGCAGGCTGGGGCAGTTGGCTGGGCTGCTCCTTGGCATTCCTTCAAGACCTTATCTGCCTCATCAGCAGAAGAGCCTTGGCCAGGGCTTCCATCCAAGCCTCCTCCTCCACCCGTCAGCCTTCTCATGGTACCGAGTGCTTTGGCAGGAAGGAAAGGCAAAACCAGCAGCTTCCAGAGAGGCAGCAGTGGGGATGTGTCTCAGATAACGGAACTGCCTCCCTGACTCTTGGAGGTGACCTTGCTGCTGTAGTAGGCGTGAATGGAACAGCAAACCAAAACTGGCCAATTTGTTGGGTGGAAAGTTTGTGAATATGGAGAGGTCTTGCCTTTTTTCAACAGAAAATGGGAAACCTCAGCTGCTTCCTAATGTCTTGGTGTCAGCTTCACTCTCCTCTTGTTAGTATCACCCGCAGGAGGAGAAGCCAGGATTAGAGTGTCCCCAGAAGCTGCTCCAATGCAGCAAGGAGAGACTGAGCTCCCACCCTCAGCTTCCATTCACAGCTGCCAGAAACTGGGAGCTCAGTAAACCAGACCAAGGGGGAAATCCTTCCGCTTCTGTACTTGACGGGGTTCCTTGCTGTTTCCCAGCCTCGTCAACGAGGTCCATGATCTTGATGAGACCATCCAGAGCCTGCAGCAGCGGCTGAGGGATGCTGAGGACACGCTGCAGACACTGGTGCGGGCCAAGGCTGTCCTGGAGCACGACCTGGCTGTCAAAGCCAACTCTCTCTTCATCGACCAGGAGAAGTGCATGGGGATGCGCAGGACCTTCCCCTGCACTGCACGGCTGGTGGGCTTTGTCTAGGCTGGGAGCTGCCCCAGAACATCCGAGGAGATGTTCTCAGCTTTCATAGGATGACTCAAAAATCCGTGACAAATCTTCCTGATGAAAGTCCTGAATAGAAATTAAATGTTTGCTTTGTGTCTTATGTGGTCTGCTGGATTGTTTTTCTCCCCTCCTTTCATTCTCGGATTTTCGGAGAAACAAACTCAGGTCTTCCTCCTTCTGAGTCTGTTTGTGGAAAAGCACAGGGGGAAGTGACGCTGTCAATCAGGTGTTGACACCCATACAGTATTTTTAACAGTGCATCAGAAGCACAAACCATCCTGAGAAGCACTGCAGTATGTTCTCTTCATAAACAGGAAAAGTTGTGCTTTGTGCTGTTTTCTAATGATAATTTATTCTTGCTTTTGGAAATATCTAACTGTTGTCTAAAATATCAGCACTGGGATTTTAAAAGAAGGAAGTTTTTCAGCCAGAGGGTGGTGAGGCACTGGAACAGGCTGCCCAAGGAGGCTGTGGATGCCCCATTCCTGCAGGCATTCAAGGCCAGGCTGGATGTGGCTCTGGGCAGCCTGGGCTGCTGGTTGGCGACCTGCACACAGCAGGGGGTTGGAACTGGATGAGCATTGTGATCCTTTTCAACCCAGGCCATTCTATGATTAGCTATGACCAGCTAATTGAGGAAAATGTGTCAGTTTTCATTTTAGTGAGTACGAATTGGTTCCTAATTTAAGATTTTGCTTTTGGATTGTTGATAGGCTCACCAAAATTCCAAGTTCTGCACGTGGCACCTTTGACTCCATAAAAACCATTGAGTCTCAGCTCTTCATTTCCTTCAAAAAAAACCTCAGGTGATCAGGTAGAAATAAAGGTTCCTCTCCAGTCCCAGCCCTGATGCTGTCTGTGTCCGTAAGGAAACGCGTCCTGGGCAGACAGGAGAGAGGATCTAGGTTTGTGCACAGCTGGTGTCAGCCGGACAGGAAACAAACCACATCTCCCCCAAGTGCTGAGTGATCATCAAACATCATCAGCAGCAAGTTTGCCGGCCAAGAGTTTCTTCATCGGCACGTTTGGCAGCTTGGCCAGGGGAAAGGATTTTCTTCCAGCCTCGCTGGAGCACAAGCACCCCAGGGAAGTGCCTTGGCACAGTGCTCACACAGCACTGTGTGGCTTTGGGGCTTTATTGTAAGTAGTAGAAATAAAACAGTGGCCACAAATCAAGACCAGAGGTGGTGCTCGTGCTGGGCTGCCTCATTGCCCTAACCATGACCCGAGAGCTTCAAAGCCCATCGCTGGGGTCTGTGGGCACCCGCTGTGTCTGTATGTGCTCGGCCCTTTGCAGGTGACCTGAGTGTTTGTGTTCAGAGGTGGTGCTGCTTTCTGCATGGCAGTTTGGTTATTTGGCTCAGGTGGACTCAGAGGTGATGAAGCGGGGATGCTCCTTGGCACTTTCTGTCCTACTCTACTTTTTTCAAGGCAAAAATCCAACCGTTATATGATGTAACTGGTATGATGTAACTACACGATGGCCCTGGTGAGGAATTGGCACAGGTTGCCTTCAGCTGGATGATCTTAATGATCTTTCCAACCCTAATGACTCTATGATTCTATAATCATGATGAAGGACCCAGTAGAACTAAATGATACCTTTGCATTCTGGAGTTGTTTTAAGATCTGTTGGAAAGTTGATAATAGCAGTTGTTTTCAGGTTGTGTCTTTTCCTGCCTAACTTACCATGGTCCTTCTGCTGGGTGGTGCCTATAGACACCTGCCATTATTCTGAAATTTCGGAAGTCACTGGCATCCCTCTTGGATAACTTAAGCAGAGCTAAATTCAGCCCATTAGGGACCAAAAAGCCCAAAAGAAAATCAGTTCAAGTCCATTCTCCTGCCTCAGGAGTCACAACCATGAATCTCCTGGTTCAGCAAGGAGGCCTTTGGGAGCTGAGGACACTTTTTCTCAACTCACATCTCCCAGATGGCTCCATCTCACAGCACAGAGCCAGCATGCTCTATGCACATCCCATGCCAGGAGCCAGTTCTGCCCCAAAACTCCTGTCGAATGGGTCTGTAGGGTGAATTTTTTTGGGTGAAATTCCAATGGAGTTACATCCTTGTGCATTCCCTGTGTACACACGGATGGATTTTCCTCCTTGTGAGCAGTTGCTTTTGGGGCTGCAGTCTCTCCAGTTGGTGCACATCAACTGCGTTAAATCACTGCCCTGCCCTCCTGCATCCAAAGTCTCAGTGCCTTTACATTTGTAAAATCAAATGATTTGCTTCCACAATTCACATTTAGATAATGCTGCCCTTCCTGTCTGCCTCTGCTGCCTTTCTGCATTGATTGGATGCTTCCTTTCTGCAAATGCCTTCAATCTGCAGGGCGACACGCCTGCTTTTATTGCTGCTTATTACCCTTTTATTGCTTGCTTTTATCAGCCAAGTTGCTGAAGAATTTGATTTGTAGAAATTCCTTTGCATCCCACAGACATATTCCCACCCTCTCTCCTATCATCCTGATAAACCCCACAGAAATGGGTTTGTAAACTAATTGTCTACTGTCTGGAGCAAAGAAAATAAAAGAATAAAACCGAGGGAGCTTTGCTCCATGCAAGCCAAGTTTTGTGCCCTTCCCAGACCCAGGGAATGGCCAAGGCTATCAAGATTCTCAGAAAGGAGGCTTGGGTGCTTCTGCTGCCTAGGAAAATGAGACTCAGTGAATGGCCTGAGATGAATTAGGGTGAGAGGAAAGCTTGCCAAAAGTGGTTAGTAGTATATTGCACAACGAATGAAGAAATGCTCTAGGGAAAGAATTCCCAAAACAGCTTCAGCATTATGATAAAACAGCTCATCCCTATTGTGGGGAAAGAAAAAAAAAGAAAATTTGAGCTAAACTTCTAAAGATTTGGGAATTGTAGGAGCACAGGAATGGCTGTGCTGGCTCAGACCAAAGTCCAAAAGCCCAGATTCAGCCTCTGCCAGATCCAACAGAAACTGCTCAGACAGAAGCGCAGAAGCATCCCATAATACTTTCCCAGTCCACTTTCCCAGCTTCCAGCCACCCGTGTGTCAAGGACTTCCTGAGCTGCCAGTGCTGTCCTTGAATCCAATAGCCCCCAATGGACTTGTTTCATGTGATCTCGTTCCAGCCATTCCTTGGGCTCGTGCAGCCTCTTGGCATCTGCCAGTCCCAGCAGGGAACTGCAGGGCAGGGAGCATCACTCCAAGCATTGGCAGTCAATGCAATGGACAGCCTGGGAAAAGGGATCAGCAGTCCCAGCACTGCTGGGGACAGGAGTCAAGCTCAATAACCTCGGCAAAAAGGTGGCTTGGTTCAGACCTCTATTGGAACTACGTGCTCTTTGAGTCCCTTCCAGCACAAACCATTCAGTGATATCCTCTGCAGGCTCAAGAGGAGCTCAAGGGGGCTAGCTCCTTTTGCATGTTGTCAGCATGCAACAGACAAGCACGTATCACGACTTCTAAAAGTGTCTGAGTATGTTCTGGCACACAGGCAAGTCCCAGCTGGGGAGCACGGATGTGTTTCTTTCTTCTGGAGTCAGTGAGTGAATTTGGGTTTCGTTGAGGCCAATGGGAATTTCTCCAGTGCCTCTATCAGTGATGACAACTGGCTTGGAGCTGAATAAAAGAGTTGGACAAAATTGGTTTTGGGGCACGAATGCACAGTTGGCAGGACTGAAATATTTTACAAATTCCTCTTGGTTTGGTGGAAAACAAACATCAGGAAGAGTAAGAAAACGTCTCCAAGATGTATTATATCTCCTGTTTTAGAAGATTGCTAAATGTAAATGCCTGTCTTCCCTCACATTTTTTCTTGCTTGAAATGGCTTTGTTAGAAAAAGTAAAAACCACCATTTCTTGGCACTCTCCTTGCCTGTGTTTGCCTGTCAGTGTGCATCTGTGCCTACTGCTCTCCTTATTCATCTAGTTGCTTGATAGCAGGATGCCTTTCCTCATCCCAGGGCTTGCTGAGGGCAGTGCAGATTTCTGCCCTTTCCCCTTTGCCTTTCGAATCCTCCATTGCTCGTGGTCTTAATCAGAAGGGCAGGGAGCAGGAAGCCACTCCCTGAAATTGTGATGATGGAGCAAAGTCCTGGGATTGGAGACCTCCACCCAAGAGAAGACATCCAGAGAAAGTCTGCCCTTTTTGTGTCACTGGAAAAGATTCCCATCCACCTGGCTGAGGCAGTGAATGAGGTGTACATATTTGCTGGGCAGGTGGCAGATCCTGTGTTGTGTGGTCCTGGTGATGCCATGGATGCAGCCTGCTGAGGCTTGCACTGTGCCCAGCCTCACTGCCCCTAGTTTGCATCTGAGCCTCCTAATGTTATATGACAAACAATTTCCTTCCCAACATCTTATTACCATACTCTAGAAGCTGAAGCATCCTAGCACTTTTAAATGATCCCATAGAAAATGTTCTGATCTTTCGTGATGGCTTTGCAGAGCCCCAATCCATTTGGACGATGCACCTTTCCAAGAGCATGAGGGGGCACTGGATCAATGGGCACTTCTCTTTGGGCTCCCTCCACGGATTCTGGTCTGCAACTCACAGCCAAAACAGGCTTCATTTCTCTCAAGTGGCTCCTTTCATTGATCCATAGAATTGTTGAGTTGGAAGAGACCACTAAAGGCCGCCTTGTCCAACTCCCTGCAATGAGCAGGGACACCAGCACACTCCAGCAGGTGCTCAGAGCCTGGTCCAGCCAGAGCTGAGTTTCAGCTATTTCTCACATGCCCAGAAAGCTGCAGGCACACAGGAGTGGAGATCTCAGACTAAACTCTCTCCGCACAGCCGTGAGCTGGCACTGCTGGAGCACGGCTCGGTGGCATTGTGCAGGTGGTGGCAAAGCAGGGGCTGGAGCATGGTGTGAAGCCTGGGGCCACTGACCCATCTCCCCTGTGCACCTCCCCAGAGTGCTCCAAACTCCCTCTGACTGATGTGTGTGTTGGGACCCCTCACACACAGCACAGCCAAGCCTGTGCTGCAGGGAACACGCCTGCTTGCCAGCAGGAAGGAGCCAAGCACGCTTCTCTCCCTCTTTCTCCCAAGATTTACAGTTTTGGCAGCTGGATGTCAAACTCATC